GATGTTTACACTAATTTTTGTTTTTTTTTGTGCACAGCTTAGAGTTTGTCACAAACTTACAGCAAAGTTCAAGCGGGAGATCGTCCTTGGTTCAACTAGTTTAGATGATCCACCTCTATACATCACGGTAATCTATCAATCATCTTTCTGTTGCAGTGGACTCATGTTGGCGTGAAATTATTATTGCCCGAATCTTTTGAACACACATCCCCCATATCCCAACTTGTGGGATTTTACGGGGTCCGTTATGTTGTTGTTGTCATCTTGGAATTATTATTATTATTATTATTATTATTATTATTATTATTATACAAATAAACTTGTGGAGAGTGATGATCATTATTTCTCAATCCTTACATATTCTGCAGAAACTGAAGTTACTCTCGGAACCGGAGCTCTCCATTGATAACATCAGAATCTAGAAAGGTTTGAGCTTGTGAAGTAAAATTTTGTCTGGACAAGCAGGCCAGTTTGATTGAAGTTTCCTGTGTAGTATTGAAATTTTGTTAGTCTATAGCTGAAAACAAGCATTGGACTGTAATGTGAGTGCTTTAACCATTTCCTTCAATATGAAAGTGTATCATGCTCTATAATGTAAGACTGATAATTTGCCTAGAACTAATAGAGTTTGAATTGCTTCTCCATAATTTGAATTATGATATAAATTCAAAATTGATAGATTTATCTTGAAATATTATATTTTTATAATAAGTACTTATAAATAAATGAAGATATTAATGATCAAAGTATTATACTCCCTCTGTCCCATTTTAAATTGTCTGTTTGCCGTTTTTCTTCGTCCCAAAATAAGTTGCCTGTTAGTTGTTTTCGTAAACTTTTAAAAATAAAATACCTAAACTACTTCTAAAATAAATCACTTTTTTTCACCTTATCTTCTCATTCATCATCACCCCTCCTAAAAAGTAATGTCAATTTTGAAAAATCAATTTTATTTTTTATTTTTCTTAGTTAAATATGCCCAAAAATCAAAACAGACGATTTAAATTGGGAGGGAGGGAGTATTGAAGACCGTGCAAGTCGAAGTTGGAAGAATCAAGAGACATGTGATAATTTTATTTAAATGGATGAATGATGATGATTGTATTTCTCTTGTTTTGATTATCTTTTTAAAATTCTCTTAAAATCAATTAAAAAAAATTATTAGAACGGGAAAAACACTTGTTTACACAAATCTTTGGTCAGATAAAAATATAATCCGTTAAAAAGCACTGCCACTTATAAATTAGAGGCAGTATTTGGCCAACAAAATCATCTTTTAATAGAGTTCATCAATAGCCCCAAAAAACCCCAAAAAAGAATCCATAATCGCCCACCGTGGGGCTCGAACCCACGACCACAAGGTTAAGAGCCTTGCGCTCTACCAACTGAGCTAGACGGGCAAGTTGAAAGGACGCTGTTTTAGTTTTATATTACCTAAAGACTATTACATTTGTTTCGGAATTTGAAAAGAATGCTCCAAAATCCTAAAAATTAGAATCAAAAGAAATACCAAAGCTTTTTATTAGACAAAAAAGTTGAAAAAATAAATTAGAAGAAAAGTATTCCCTACTACACATATTAGGGAAAATAAAAAATCTTTTTTGATACTGAACTTGTAAAACGAAAGTAAATTCAAATATATAACCTGTGTCAAATACTCGTATAGAATAATTTTTTGTCAAACAAGTGTTTAGTATGTTTGAATAAATATTAATCCATTTGTTCCCATGAATAACTTATGGTTGATGCCAAATCTAGACCCTAGCTAATTAGCTAAATTCACTCTGTTTATAAAAAATGGACATCTTTGCCCTTTCGTTTATTTCTTTTAATTTCACAAATCAAACATTAAGGATAAATTTATATTTTTGACATAAACATGAGTGGATGTAGCAATAACAATAAATTATTTTTTAAAATATTTTTTTAGGTGTTGGGAAATTATAGTGTTCTTTTTATGTTTGTTTGAGATATGTTTAATTGTTCATACATATGAATTTAGACTTTTGTGTCGAGTTTTCTCTTGAAAAGTTACTCCCTAATATTTTTTAACCTAAATATTTTATTTTCAGGCTTAAACAAACCGTGAGATATTTTATTTTGCATAAAAAATTTATGCAAATTACTTAACCACACAATTCCTTTTATTAATAAAAGTGACGTTTTCTTGGAAACAAGAAACTGAAATCTTGAAGTTTTTTCAGCTTTTGTTGTCATTACTTTTTTATACAAACAAATAGCAAGATTTGTTTAGAATTATTTGTAGCTATTTTAGTATGTAATTGTACGTATCATCCTGTCTGTCACTTTGTAAAGATCTGCAACTTTCCAACATCGCGATCCGAGTAGGAGTTGAGAAATTACTGAAATATGATTTCCTGGTCCGGATATGTGCGAGAACCTTCTTCTAGTATTACTTGGCTATGGTTAAGTGTGTGCCTATGTATACGCCTTGAGACTCTCACATAACCAAGAGGAGATGCCCGAGAGAAAGAAAGGGATGATGTTCATGTATATCTACATTGTGAAGGAGACCACTCGAACGATCGTGCACAAAGAAGTGAAGACACAACTGCTTGTCGTCTCTATATCTACAGGCTAAGATCTAAATTTCGATAAGTTGATTCTCGAACTACGGCTCCCAACACACTCTTGAGAATACCTTGATGAAGGTGTGAGAGTCGTGAAGCAAGTTCAAACAGAGTTCGAGAAAAGATTTTTAGTTTTGAGGTTTTGCCAAATAGTCAACTTCCAATAAAGATTAGGAAAAGCCAATCTGAAAAGTTTTGAGGAAGTAAATTTTTAATATATAATTTTCTTTTTGTTTTGTTCTACACCTATTTTGAATGATATTAATTTAAAATAATTTAAGTTAAATATTATAAATCAAACATAAATTTTATTTTCGGACGGAAACCCGCCGAAAACAAAAAATAGGGCTGACATTTCTTCGGGTCCAACATAAAACCCGCCCCAAATCCAATCCAGAAACTCAGAAGAAATGAATCTGTTGGCGCCCTTGGAATTTGGATTTATCCAAGCACCTTGTAAACGAGTATAAAGCCCATCCTTTCTTACTTTTATTGCCAATAAATATGCTCCCCCACTTCTCCCATAAATTTCTTTTCTAGTTTAATTTGTTGGTCAAATTTTTTAAATTTTGAGTCCAAATTACAATACACACACATAGAGTATTTATAATACACCCGGGATATATTTATATACTCTCTTCGTCCAGAAATGTTTTTCATTTATTGACTTGACACATTTATTTAGATGTAAGAGAAAATATCAAGTTTCTAAAAGCATGAGTAATGAGAAGACAAAAATGAAATGACACACGCTGACATGAAATGCTATAGCCAATAAAAAAGGTCTAGTCAGCTTGTGACAAAGGTGTGGAGTGAAGTGTTGTGCAGTGGCAAGTCTATGTTTTTGTCATTTTTTACTTTTTTTAATCAAAAATTAATTTACTTATCTTTTTTCATAAAACTAGATGTACTCATTTTTTAAAAAACTTGATTAGAGTAACAATCCTTACTGTCGAAGTCATTATTATTTTTATTTACATTTTTTGATATACTTTAAATTTAAAAAATACTTTTATCATCTATTTTATCATAAAAATATATATATTTCCAATACCTTCATAAAAAGTTTATTTGTTTCTTAAGTTAGAAAAAGAGAGAAAAAGATTTTGGGAGTAATGAAAATATATTCGGTTTTTCCTTTTTGCACTTGGTGGATTATAATCAACTATTTATGTTATTTCTTCTAGTAGCTTCAAAATAGGGAATGAAAAAAATCTTCAATTCTCTACACCAATCCTCACCAAAGAAAAGCAAAAAAGGGAATAAAATTGACTCACCTATGACACAGGAGTGACACGCCTAAAAACTGACTTGCAAACAAGAGTGTCGGCTTATGTGGGCTTTGCGTTGCCATTGTCAGTGCTCTAAGAGTGCTCATATTTTAATTTGGGATTGAATTAATTTGGGTGATTGGGTGTTATTTATATTTATCTTTAAAAAGTAAATTAAAAAAATGAGATGAATATTTTTAGAGAATTTGGAAAAAAAATTAGAAAAATATTTTCAGACGGGAGAACATAAATAAAGATACTAATGCTTAAATTATTACATTAGAACCATAAAAATCAAATAACAAAAATAATTATGGACGAAGGGAGTATTTTTCTCGTGTTAGAAAGTTTGTGGTAGAATTGTACTCGTATAACTATAAGTCTATAATAACTAGGGATGGCAATTCAACCCGAACCCGAGATTAACCGACCCGACCCGAAATTTTTTACCCGAACCCGACATCGGGTCGGGTCGGGTGTGGATTTATAATTTTGCCCGACCCGACCCGAACCCGCACCCGACTCGACTAAAACCTGAATATTTTATTACAAAAAAGTCTATCTATGGATGTAATGAGCACTCCGTATAATCTCTTAACAACGTGCTACTATATCAAATATGCCTTTTATAATCATTTTTATAATCCCTTAATAAAAAAAGGAGACATAAAAAAAGAGACACAAAAAAATTAGATTTAATTTTTTCAAAATTATTGGGGTACGTCGAATTGATTATTGGTTAAAAGTCGGGTTCGGGTTTCGGGTTGAAATGTCGGGTTCGGGTCGGGTCGGATTTTTGGCCTTAAAGGTCGGGTTCGGGTATAGTACTATCCGACCCGAACCCGACCCGTTGCCATCCCTAATAATAACTCTTCTAATTAGAAAACTACGGAGTATATGTTTAAGGGAAAAAACAAACTAAGATAAAACTTAAAAATGTAACAAAGTAGGTGTCGTCTTTTTATTTTCAAAATAAGGGTTAGAATGTCAATATAATGTCAATATATAATACTAAAAACAAAGTTAAAGTGACATCTTAGCATTAAAAATTGGTTTGTATCTAACTCTTCTCTTTAGTATTTTTAAAAAATAAAATTCTCAAACTATCATAAAGAATTAGATTTAACCAAAATGAGAACGAATATACCAGTATATATTGACCTGAATTTAAAATCTCAAACGCAATTCTCAATAGCTTTTAGGATTTGACATTAAAAAAATGATTCAACCGTCGTTAACAATTACGGGCATATATACATACAGATAAATAGCTGGTTTTAGGCGCAACAGGCATCATCGAAGCTCCAAAGCTCCAAGGAACCGCCGCCAACCGCCGTTTCCGACGCCGGAACAACAGGCACAGCCGGCATGTGGCCGTCGAGATAAGGTATTTCAAAGAACTTCATGAACGATTCGTACGCCATTAGCTCCTCCGACAGCTTCTGCACCTGGCTCTCTTGGATCGACGCATTCATCCCTTCCTCCCCAATCTGCTGATTCGTATGAGATCCTCCATTGCTATTCTCTGACGCTGAAGCAGGTCGAGACGCATCTCCGCTCTCAGCTGCAGGATCGGCGGCGGCGGATCTGCTCATCGAGTGATTGAAAGGAAGATCACCGCCGGACATCTCGAATTTCGGCCGCCGGGAAGGGAAGTATTCGTGACGATGGAAATCATCCTCGTTGGGGAAGTTGACCTTGGCCTTCTCTCCTCTGATTTTCCGAGCCTCCCTGTCGTACGCCCTCGCGGCTTCCTCCGCCGTGTTGAAAGTTCCCAGCCAAACCCTAACGCCTTTTCGCGGATCTCGAATCTCCGCCGCCCACTTGCCCCACGGCCGCTGCCTTATCCCCCGGTACAGATTCTTCCTCTGCCTCTTCTTCCCCCTCTCTGCACGCTCACCACCTGTTCGTCAAAATTCCCCAATCAGAAATAATCTTAACCGTAAAAATTGCACTAAGAGATAAAACATTGAACAGCATGCTGTTACCAGGGGCGCCAGAAACGGGGGCGGGAAAATCGGGCCAGAAACGGGCGGAGCTAGGAGAGATATCCGACGGGGAGACGCGGCGCTGGCCGCCGCTGGAGTTGCGAGGAAGGAGGTCGAAGAGAATAGCACCTCCACACATGTTTTACGTTTTGCTGTGTTGGGAAAAAAGTTTATAGAGAATTCTGGAGACTGTAACAATGGTGCCAAGGTGAGACCGAATAGGATTTATATTTATAGCAAAGTGAAAAGCTGTAATGAAGCGTTTGGGTGGCGTTTTTGGTCATACAAAGAAGAGAAGAAGGTGTTTATAGCTCAGAAAGCGTGTTCAAGTTGGTACTTGGTAGACAACTTTTCCTGATACTTCGAGTCGTCAAAGTTCAAAGCATTTCAATTCACAATTACTCCATGTAAAAAAAGGCATAAATCTCATTGTTGATGAAGACTAAATTAGATTTTAATTACATATTAGGAACCAATTCAAAGACTTCATGTTTAATATAATTGTTTCTCATTGCAGTCATTTGGATATTAGCAGCTGATGTCTTGTCAACTACTCCCTCCGTCCCTGAGTGTTTGTCCACTTTCATTTTTACACACCATCCAATGCACTTCTTTAATCCATTTTATCTTGTAATTTGTATGTTAAAAAATTATAAAAATTATATATTAATAATCTATATGTTAAGATGAATCAAACAAGATTACACATGACTATTTTTAGGCTTACACATTGAGAGAATTTGATGAGTCAAAGTGCTTAGATGAATAGTTCCAAAAGTCAAAAGTGGACAAATACTCAGGGACGGACCAAGTATGCAATATGGAGTCTATAAACTAATATTGGAACTTATTTCACAAATATAAATTGGAACTTACCATAGAAAATTAGACATTGGACCAAACGCTCATTTTCTAGCCTGGCGTAGAATTAATTTTAAGTTCTTAAAGACCCACCATATACTCCGTACTATAATACTATTGATTTTGAGTAATACTAGAGTCACAAACAAAAAGTTCATAAAATTCACAAACTTGTCTTTTTAACATTTTCTTAGAAATAAAATGCACTCAAATAATAAAAGTTATTTTAATTTAAAATCCACTAAAGGAAAATTTGTAAAATTTATGAATTATATGTTTGTGACTCTAACATTTTCCACTCATTTTTCTAGTCGACTTGGAGGATTTTTACTACATTTGAATTACCAAATCCTCTCCAGAGGCAAAGTCGCAAAATGAGACTCCGTCACAATTCTTACTAACTCCCTCTTTTAGTATTTGACTAATTTGACTTTTTACAATCAATCATTTTTTATCATTGACTTATAAATAAATAAATTTATAAAGTATATTAATTAGATAAAATAATATATTCAAAATACAATTTAAAACAGATCTAATTATATTATTTTTTACATCAATATCTAATACTCCCTCCGTCCCGATTTATAGTGTGTGTTTCAATTTACAATGTTTGACTGAAATTATTTTCAAACCATTTCATATAAAAAATGGGATAAAGTTTAAAAATAAAAATTACATATTAAAATATTACATCAAAAGATCTACAAAACTAGTATTGACAATAGTACTTTATTTTATCAAATTATTAACGAAAATAGAGAAAAAAATGAATGAAATTTGACACTGTAAATAGTAAACATGCATTATAATTTGAGACGGAGGGAGTATTAATTTTATTTAAGTAGTGGTCAAGGCTTGTTAATTTCTACTACAAATTCAAATACACTAGTAGGAAAGAAGAATTGGACCATGAAAAATTGAAATTTAAGTATTGCTGAAACACTGCATTGTACTCCGTAATTAGCTAGTCTCTTGAAAACGTTAAGCATTTACACGGAGTATCATCAAAAAACATTTTTAAAATTTTAAAGCTATATATTGAAATTTTAAAACAAATACCAAATACGTTATGAATCAAGAAATAACATTAATATATTATCTTTACAAATGATTAATAAATATAAATATAAAAATAAAAAATTAGCTTATGAATAACACTCCTTTGTGACTTTAGTCTTAGAAGAGGGTGTGTGTGACTTATACTTTTAAAAAAAAATATTCCGTATAAACTACGAAAAATCAGATATTTTTGTCCAAATTGAACTCTTTTTCTTTTTTTGAATAAAACTAAGCGGGACATAAAAAAAAACACTCGTATTGATCAGAGTCAAATTGTAAAACTACAAAAATACTACTCAGTATTATGGGAACCTTGATGCACTATTATACCATCTTCAAGGATAAACCATAAAGATGAAATCATATTATTTCGGCTTGCTATTCAAATACCATAAAACTTACAGTACCTTTGGAATCAAATCTTTACACAAAATGTGAATGACTACAACACAAATTGTCTCTAACAATGACATATTTTCACATGTCCCTTGTAAAATGGCCTTTACAGGTATACCTCATATCAACAATACTCTTCTTTTCCATANGTTTTCTGTTGGTTCTAATGTTTGATTGTCGATGTTTTTTTTTTTCTGAAAAAATTTCAAGAGAAATAGGAACTAACCATGAAACGAAGAACACTTTTGCGGTCAAAACTCTGTACCAGCACAGCATTGAAGAACGCCGTGCACGAACTAACATTCTAGAATATGATTGTACCCCGGCCAGCTGCAACCTGTGGACCAACTCAAAACACCTAGGATAACTTCCACTCTGGAACATGCAACCACCTGCATTAAGTTTTCCTGTTATAAAGTTCTTCTCCCTAAAAAAGGAAAAGAAAAGCTACACTTAACTAACCCTATGCTTTGTTCAAGGAATTTGAAAGTGAAAAGAAGAGAAAATGAGATGAAAAACAATTTTTTCTTCTGTGGTTAGAGAGGAAAAGAAAAGAAAAGTGGAAGGAAAAGAAATTGAGAAGACAAAATGTACTAAGAGAACAGAAAACAAAATTTCTCCCATTTTGGTGAGGAAAATGAGAGAAAACCATTTCCTTTTCTTTTCCTTCCGATTTTCTTGAACCAAACATACTATAATAAATGTACCAAATCATCCAAGCTAGCTTCAACATGAAATAGCATGACACCTATTCCTTTCCCTCTGTCAATATCTGCCTGCAACAACTTTGTCAATGACAATTAGGGTCTGTTTAGAACCCAGAAAAAACTAGGGGAAAAAATAAGAAAGTAAACATAGAGAATGGGAAAAAAAAGTCAAATATTTGGAAAATAAAAGATATGATGAACTCCATAAATTCATTTTGGATATTTTTATAACATGATATTCATTTTATTTATTCATATAGAATTACCGACTACATAAAGAAAAAACAATACATGTAAAATATAAATTTTAAATAGTAATTATATTTTAATTTCTTATGCATTTTCCAAACTAAAACCAAACAAGTAAAAATAATTGTCATCAACATTCTTCCCTTTTCCCTAGCATTTCCCAGGATCCAGACATACACATAGAGTAAAGCGGACAGATCATGATCATTAACACTCAAGGGAAAGCATTTAAAATCTATGGGACAAATTTCAAAGCTTTAAATGAATGGACTCACCACACATGAACATATCGAAATGCTTGCTGCAGCCAATGCTGATGTCACATCACCCATCATGCCTACCAATCACATTGTACAAGATATAAACAATATTAGTCATACATACATACATAATATATATATATATATCTGTGTGTGTGTGTCTGGTAAAGGATTTCCAGTATTGCTTTCCACTTCCCCATACATTAATGTAGCAAACTTTAAAAATAAGTAATTTTACTAATTTGACAGTTAAACTAATCGATGAAAACAAGCAAAGAGTCTCTGTGACAGTATAGCTAATCTGCAAATCAGAATACAGTCCCGGCCATTGCACCAAAAAAGTTCTTTTCAAATAACTATACACAACACTAGAAATTTTAACTGTGATTCACGCAAATTACCTAAATCCTGTGCATCACACATGCTTGAGAACTAGGATGGAATAAATGAAATGAAAAACTCGTACAACCTTTTCGGTCCATGCATACTACACAAAACCACTGTATGGAATGTCCTTCAAGGTTGTTCCACGATGATACATTGCTCGAGACCCAACTCTCCAACCCCGGGAACACCTCCTGGTACTTCGGAATGGTAGCATGAATCATCCTGAAAACGCCATTCCCCTGCAATAAAGTCTCTCCTCTGCCCTTCAAGCTCACATGCTGCAGATGCTTACTATGATTGCCATTCACCTTGGGGGTCTGGATGTTACTACTGTTAAAATGAAAATTATCTTCGCCACTCGACATTTTCACTACCTTCTTTAGAATCTTCTCTGGTGTGACTATAGCCCCTTTAGAAGAATCAATCACTTCTCTTTCACTATTAATACCATATTCAGCGGCAAATTTATTTACTGATTCCACCGTTATTTCAGTTGCAGATAGAGCAGCTTGCTCTCTTAAAAACTGAAGATAAAAAGCATTGATGAGTATGACATTTGTCAAAATGATAACATTTTTAATTGCAAATAAAAATAGCATACTCTCATTATCTTGTGCCTGGCACTACGTGTTTTAGCATGCTGCAACCAATGTTTGTGTCTTTCGAAAGCAGATTTGTTTGAGAGGACCTGAGGAAAGTGGGAACGTGAGACTTCTGAAACTAACAAGATGTGTATTTGCACTAGTAAAACTATACTCCCTTTGTCCCAAAATGCTACAACCATGGTAGGATAGGACATACTTGTCCTGGACAGAAACTCTAGTAGAGACGTCTATGTAATTAAGCTTGCAATTGTAGGTCTTATTGATAAATGCAAAGCACTATTTATAATTTAATACTCACAATAATCATGGTGAATACTAAATAGAGTTCTTATCTATTACAGAGTATTATATTTACATTAGGATTTAGGAATATTAACTAAAATAGAATATTACTCCATCAGTCCTGAATTAACAGTCCTCATTTCCTTTTTGGAACATCCCCAAAATGGTCTTCTTTCGACTTTTGGAAAAGTTTTTGCGGGTCATATTTTTTCTATCTCCTTCGTATCACTTTCAACCAAACAATTTCCCTTCTCTTAAACTCTGTGTTGAATCAAATGTGGACTATTAAGGGGAGTATACTAATAGGGAACTATTACTAGTTACTCTCTCTCTCTCTCTCTCTCTCTCTCTCTCTCTCTATATATATATATATATATATATATATATATATATATAATAAATTGAAAATTCAACAAAACATTAGGTGACATTAATATACTATTTTATTAAATGAGTAATGAAAAATGCAAATAAATATGATATAGGTTGACTGTGTGAATAGTAACTTGGATTTTTAAGGACGAAGGGAGTAATAGGATTATAAGAAACTAATACTAATTTTACTAAATAATAATAATAATAATAATAACAACAACAATATGTCCGTATAAAAAAAAGAAATTCAAAATTTTTTTTTGCCCCAAAAAGAGTCATCTTGCAACAAGTTATTTGTACTAAGTTGCAAAAAGGTTTTGTCTAAAAAAAGTACAGGTTTAAAAATCATTTTATTTTTAAGCAAACTTAGTGTAAAGCAAAGTAACAAGCTTGAAGATAAGTTTCAGGCATAGAAGTGACCATAAAGAACTGGTGAAAGCTTAAACCTTGATCGAGTCCAATAAAGAACTGGTGAATGCATTACGTTGATTGAGTCTACTAAAACCAAAAGTTTTACCTTACTCAAACAAGACTTTTTTTGGGACAGATGAAGTGCTTTCTCGTTTCTACCCTTGGGTGGTGAGGGTGAGGGTAGAGGCGTGTGTATAATAAGGGTGCACTATAAATAAAACACTAAGAAACTAACACTGTAGGTTATGATCTCCACAACTTCAGCATTGGCCAGTACATGCACAGGAGAGACAATGTTCCCATTCACCTACACAGAAAGCTAATACTCAAATGGCATATTGACTCAAGATGCATATGAACCAGTAGCAAAGTAATAATAAAAGTACCTTTGCAGCCACCATTTTATTGCCAATATCATTGTGTATCATATATGCATAATCAATTACAGTAGCCCCCTCTGGTAGATTTTTAATCTGTTGGCAACAAATTTTTACTCCATTAAAAGTTAAAACTAACGACATATAAAAGTGACATTTAAAAAGCACAGTATATTCACCTCTCCCATGGGTGTAAATACAAAAACTCGACTGCCTAAAAGATCTCTTGTAACAGTGTCCACAAATTCTCTAGATGTTATATTCCCAACAAATTCTTCCTGCCACTCTCTAATTGCATTGAGCCAGCCAATCTGAATACAAGATCCATGAGATATTGCCATAGTTTATTAAAAGGCCCATACAATGCATAACAATTTCACAGAGGCAATATATATGCTACCCTAAGAGCAATATTGGCATTGTTGAAATAGATTGTCTTCTCACTGGAACAGCCATTATGCATAACGTGTGCAATTAAGCCGTTAAGACACTTCCCACTATAATGTGCAGCAATGCCCCGCTCTGCTATTAGGTCCATCTCTTCTGTTCTTATCTGTCAATAAAGATGTATTGAGAAAGATAAATTAAGGTAATACTGAAAACCAATGGACACCTGTGCATGTTCCAGTTGTAAGATCATACCTGAACTTCCAAACGCATCATGCTTTCATAAAGAAATGGAATCACAGTTGTATGCAGGCTCTGATAGCCATTAGGCTTTGGGGTAGCAATATAGTCTTTCATCTTTTAAAAGAAAAGAAACAAATATACTAACAATATGAAACAAAAACCTTTTATATATTGTAGGGAAAAACAAGAGTGTAGGAGATAATCATCCAAACATACAGCTCGAGGAATGGGTGTCCAGATTCTGTGTACAAGTCCAAGTACATGGTAGCATATCTAGAAAATGAAACATTTTAAGAAAGCTGGCAACTAAAATGCAAAAAACTTTTTTACATTTCATTAAAAGAACTAAACCATATAAGGTAAAATAAGGACCTTGTTAATTACCTCATTTATCATTAGTTATTTACCATACATGCATATTTTTAAATATTCCCCAACAAAAGGCTCAACTCAAAACAATGGTAGAATGTCTGCATATGTAATACCTGCTGCACATTGCAAAGCCAGCCTAGTCCGGAACAAGATTTTGGTTTTATAATAATACGAAGCTGGTGGACCAAAAATACAGAAGCCTAAGAAACAATTGAACACAATGCAACGTCTTTAAAAACCAGTCAAAGTCCAGTATAAAGTAAAAACCTGTGCAATTTGGTTGACTTCATTTATCGAGCTCTTAGATTTGAGGACACCTTTGTAGATACTGTATGCAAGTAACAAAATGAAGTCAATGCCTCAATGGCCAACAGAAGTTTATGGCCAACGCCTGCGGATAGGACCAGTTCCATTCTTTTTTTTTTCATTCTCATATTTTTGTTTTTCAAAATTTGCTTTTCAAAAATATTATTACTAGCATCTTTTTTTTTCTCAAACTCATCCTTCAACAACAAACAAAATCCAGTATAATTCCAACTCCAAGCTCTACGGGTCAACACATGCACAATAATACCCTGTAATTACATAGACTGTTTCAGCTACACTTGCGCTGCATTTACTACCCAAAACTTCAAACTCATTCTTCAGTTCAAGAAATGAGAATCGTGTACAGTAAGTCAGTAATGCATATATATATGCCAGATGAAGCCCTTATACATCCATGGATGAAGAAAATAAAGCAGCCACCCGGACAAATATTTGTTCCCGCCAGAAATAGAATGGTGGATGTACTATTCACCCATTCATTTTAGTATGAGCAAGTAAGCACCATTAAATATATTACCCAGGACCAACACAGCTAATTCCCTAAATCCACACAACTTCTCCTTGCTAACATAGTATCCAAAGAGAATCAAGTGAAAAGATTTAACTTAGTGAATATGGGTGCACAGTCTTTAAGTATGATCCGTTGCAAAAAAAAATAGAGGAAAGAGAAAGAGAAAAATATACATCACAGAAAAGAAGGTAGAGTCCAAAGAGCACCTGTAAGGTTCTTTGCATATTAATCGGACCTCGGTGCTTACGTTCATCAGATCAAGGAATTGATCATCCTCAATTTTCTTTGTCAGTATTCTTTTTGCCTAAAAGAATGAAAAGGCACCATGACTGTCAAAACATACTATAAGGTAATGCAAAGTAGAGTTCTTACCTCTAAGAGTTCTTTTTCATGCTCTTTACGAAGTTCTGCAATTCGTCTTTGTACCTTGGCAAAATCTTGGGCATTTGTGTACATGAATGCAATATTTTCAAGTTCAGACTGCAAACGGTAAAGTTAACTCGGTATTAAGAGAGAAGGGGGTCTTCACAGAAACAGTCTCCCTACTCCTAACGGTCAAGTCACAGTTAGTTTGGTTTAAGTATTAAAATACTCCCCTTGTTCCATTATTATCTTTGTTTACGGTGTTTCATCAAACCGATTTTCAATTCAATTTATTTATCTATAAATGTACACAAAAAATTACAAAATTTATAAATTTGAAAACGACAATAAAAGCTCTTTAAAACAAGTTGTGACATGACTATGTTGTTTAACAAGTGATTAAAGTAAATAGGTAAGGAAAGAAGATATATTGTGAGTTTGTGACCGTGTCAAACATGCAAGATTTCCAACATGTGTCACCATTAATGCATAATTAAACAGAATGATTCTTTTGAACCGTTTTTATTCAAAATAAGTAGATATTAAAGCTTCCAAACATAACAAAACTAGCACACAGAAATTTCATATAAACAAAATGAGGAAAAGTAGATGCAAATAAACCGAGGCTGCAATTTGAAATGCAAACAGCTGCCATCTAAAATGAGGAAGTAAATAGGTCATAAATATCTTAGGAGTCAAAGGTACAAATCGCACGTGACAATATAGTGATTGCAATCCAAATAGCATGTAATGGGAGAAAAACTCTTTAATGTCTACAAAGCATACAACTATTCACATTAACGTTTCATAGTAAAATACTATAATTCGGAAAGTGTGTAGCTGCATGACAAGAGGCACCTTAATTTGGTACATCCCAAGCAATTTGGCCAGAGGAGCAAAAACCTGTAGTGTCTCTTTGGCAATGTTGGACTGGGCACAAAAGATAATACTGATTATAAAACAGAAGTTGAAATACTCCAAAGAAACCCAACAATAAATGACAACTACCTGCTTATGGGGAGGCATATGTGAAAGAGTACGCATGTTGTGCAATCTATCAGCCAATTTGACAATTATTATACGGACCTAAAAGTTGATACTTTTAGTCCCTTCAAAAATGAAATCAAGCAAGCAAGAAGCTAGAAAAAGCGTGTATCATGTCACCTCCTCAGTCATGGATAGAAACATCTGTCGAAGGTCGTCAGCTTTGACATCTTGAGCAGAATGATTTTCATCCTTACACTTGATCTTTCCAAGTTTGGATACCTTGCACCACCAAAGGGAATGGTATAAAACAATTGAATGGTTCAAAAGTACTAATTTTATTATGAGATTACCTTGGTCTCTCCCTCTACGATGCGGCGTACAGTAACACCAAATTCTTGCTCTATTCTTTCAAAGGAAATAACATTTGTATCTTCAACTGTATCATGTAATAACCCAGCAGCAATGGATTCCCAGTCCAGATCCTAAGAGATGCATTTTATAGTTATAAAAATAGGCCCTGAAAAAGCTGCTCTTACACTATGACAACTTATAACTTACCAGTTCTCCAAGAATTTGCGCAACTGCAACTGGATGTATGATGAAGGGCTCTCCACTACGTCGCTTTTGACCATCATGTGCCTCAAAGGCTAACTGTAAAGTAACGGGCAGTTATATTCAGAATATTGCAAACCCACCTTTGCTAATACATTAAGTTGTAAATATTGCTCCAGTTCCGAGGATAGAAAGGTAGAGAAAGAAACGAGACGGAGCCCACATTTAGGAGAGGTAAAACGTGTAATTCGCATAAGTGAAGGAAAGTGATCTTAGAGAATTTTGTTAAATAATTAAGAATATAGAAAGCACATTCGGGTAAAACTCACATTCAAAGCATTATGGACCCATTCCAACTCCTTAGGGGATAGATATGAGAGAGTCGGTTGAAGATCCTGAGAAAGCAAGAATAAGTTGTCAGTTATATCATACTTTCAGGCACCCACAGCACCCAAACTTCTTACATGTTTCACTCAAAAGAAGAAGTAGAGACATTGCACGTGGGCACGCAAAATGGTGTTTTGAGTGTATATTTAAACACTTCAATAACCACATCCCTCAACTCCAAATTAAGTGACCTGATAACAATTTGAATTGTATGACATCAACACTCGCATACCTCCCACAAACTTTCAGGGGATATTTCCTCAGATGGTTTTATGGAACAAGATAAAGAGCGGCATAGCTTCCAATTGCTCCTAGTATAATAAATCAACCTTCCAATTCCTGACTGCATAACATCATTTTTTTTCTTTTGGTGGTTACCAAAGGAAGAAGTATTGTGATGCTTAATAGAGAAATGAATTGTAAAACAATTAATGATGTCAAAAAAAGACACGAGAACCCTCATTCCTATAGAATACGAATATGTAATCTCCATGTCGAAAGTAGCTTTGAAAATGGAATCATTTTAAATATTCTCAAATCTCAACCAGTAGAGCATCCTACAATAAGAACGGATACCATTAAACGTAGTATGAATCAAGCTTCCATACTAGGAAAGTAGTGAAAGAACAGATATATACTCCGCAAACGACATTAAATAGAATTCACTTAAACCTACTGGTGAACACATTCAGACTGTGAATTACCAACGATCAGTAAACTTACACATCCAATGCTACTTTGTTTTCCAGCCCGTCCATAAGAACCAATAGAGAGCTGCGGGGGGTGGGCAGTACTGGCTAGATATCCAGTCAATGCCCTCGGAGCCTTGGATGCACAAGACAGAACACCACAGTTCAACCTCCCGCTCACATCCCCATTCCAGGCCCTGTACATATTACCACATTCCACCAGAACTGCCAATTTTTCAAAAATAAAAATAAAAATTAACTCCGGATCACCAATTGAAACATCAAAACCCTAAAAATCCATAAAACATCAAGTGAAGATATATGTGTTAAAAAAACACCTGACATCGAAGAAGCGCCTGTCATAGCCACCGAATCATCCACGCGGACATGGAGGAGCAATCACAGAGTTCAAACAAATTGAAGCTAAGCAATTCAACCGGACAGGCCGATACGCAAGTTCTGGGCGTAGAACTGGCGGTGAAGGGTGTCCCGCATAGCCGGAGGAGAATTGCAGCGAACAGCAGACAGAATCAAGAGAGTGGCATTTGGAGGAAAGGAAAAGAAATGAGGCTATGTATATATCAGTGAAGAAATGGGGTTGAACGGCGACGAACTAGAGAGGGAGAGAGATGGAAGAGGATGAAACAGTGTGCGAATTTAGCAGCTCCGGTGGCTTGGATAGATAACGATAAGTTTGTTGTTGTGAGTTGTGACTTTGTGTTCGTCGGGGGCGTACTATTTTGGGGCTGTGAAAACGGTGCATAGGTATTCTCATCTTAGAGTCTTAAACGTGTCGCATATTAGTGCATTTTTTATTTTTTAGAGCATTAGAAATTAGAATGTCACTCATTATTGGTTACTTTTCATTTTTTTTGACTTATTTTAATTATTTTACTTTTTTTAAAAATGTATTTCTTAAAAATAATGTTTTTGAACAAAAAAGTGAAATTTAAAAAAAGTGGAGAAGTAAAAATGTAAAATGCATCGCGGATGGCTCGGCAAGCAAGGTTTCTCGCTTCTGCCTCACCACGCTCTAAGAGGATGAAAGATGACGTGGCATGTGTGGTAGTGGCATCTCCACGCTACTGCCATTGCTCTTATACATTTTCTACTTTCTTTAGACAATTTTTAATCTCATACTCTTATTTTTTTAAATCTTCGTATCAAATCAAACATAAAACTTTATTATTGAAGCATGTTGGCATAATTGTAAGTCATCTCAAATTTCTTTACGTCGAGTGTCTGAGCCACACCTTTACCCTTAAGGAATTAAGATTATAAGATTTTAATAAATATTTATAGCTATACATATTAGCTAGAGTGTCTTGTGTCGTGTGAAGTAGGTTGTGATTTTCCAATAAAAAAAGTATATTGATATCTCGTTAATATGGTTGTCGGATCAGTGGTGAATCTCATTGATGAAGGCCCATATCTGAATAACAATGAAAGAGTCCAAGGAGATCAATGTGGAGAATCTTCGTTGGGGTCATGATGGATGGTCTCAAGCTAGCTAATACTCCCTCCGTCCCTAAATAGATTATAATTTTTTTCTCTCTCCTCTCGATAACTTTTGTTTGTTTACACAATTTCGTTAAGTATTTGATAAAATAAAATATTCTTGTCACCTCTTGTTTTGTAGAACTTTTGACGTAGTTTTTTAATATGTAATTTTTATATCTTATTGATATATCAATTTATAAATAAAATGATTTCAAAAAGTAGAAAATTTTACTCCGTAACCCGCAATTTGTAATCAAATTGGGGACGGAGGGAGTAGTAGATTTTAGATATCCAATCATGAACACCACAAAGCCATTATGTCATTGATGTGTCCATTGTTTTGATGTGCACCTTGATGATGCTTATTGGCTGAAGAAAGGGTACTAAATTTATAGCAAGACAAACTAAATAATTTATTAAAATCACATTTAAATTTAAGGAAAGTCTTAAATTCAATGTTTTTAAATCCAAGTTTCATATTCAATATGCAAACCATTGTATTAAATGTTGAACGATGGCTTGCATGGTGCATGCGTTGGGGAGCATGGATATGAGCTTCGGTAGACGAACGAAAAGAGTATAGTAATCTTGTGTCCCTACTATGACAAATTCTGTCAACTGTAGACCAACCATTTACAATCATATACATATTTGTAATGACGTGGTTAGATTATTAACACGAGATAAAATATACTGGTTGTTACATGTATGAGTGTGGTTAGTGGTATTGACCAATCTAGTATGTATGGTCATAAGGTTAATATGGTGAAAAAAATACTGCACTACCAATAAAATAACATTTTAAGAATATATGACTATTATTTTTACATGAAATAACTAAATTATTTAATTGATTAATTAAGACTAACATAAATGTAGACACACAGAATTTCCCAAACTACAAAATGTTATATTTTTAACCCTATTTCAAAACTCTTTACTCATGTCCATTACTCAACTACTTCAACAGGTACCACTATTACTTACTAATATTTATGTAGCACTCACTCGTCGTGAGGAAAATGAGAAAAAAACTATTTTCTTTTTTTTTTCCTACCAAATTCCTTGAACCAAACATAGGGCTAAAGAAGGTTGAGAATAATGAAGCCATATTTCATACACATTGAAGGCTATGAAACAAACATCATGGCAACGAAACATTTTCCAAGACAAGGCCATTGTAAAGGAGATAAACAAGCCATTCAAAAACCACATTGCAGCAAAGTAAATAGGGAACAAACGTCAGGCTAATGTCAACAAAATTCTCTCGCCTTCCAGAATTGAAGAAATATTCGACTCATAAATCATAATCTCAAATCTACAACGCAACAATTGTAAGCTCAGTTTTGAGACACAGGAAAAATCTTCAAGAAGATTTGTCAAACGGATCCGTGTCATTGTAACAAGTATCCCACACCTTCTCAATGGCAGCCAAACGTCCATGTTGATTGGGAGATATGATACCCATTGAGGTCATCACTCTTCTTTTGATGCATTTCTTCACACAAAATAAAAAATCCTACTCCGTAAATAATATACTCCCTTTGTTTTTTTAATAGTTTCAGCTTCATTTTTTTGTGCATCCCATAAAACACTTCTATCCTTACCTAAAATGTCTAAAACACACTTCATTTCTCTCCTTTATTGCGGGGAGTTGTTTTGGGAGTATTTTAGACATTATAGGGGTGGTGTAGAAGTGTTTCGTGGGATCTGCAAAAAATGAAGGTGAACAATGAGCCAAGCCACTAGTTAGAATGTCAGCGACAAGCCGACAATTGCATCTTGCATATGGGTAAATTCATGTTCAATACTCCATCCGTTTAACTTGAATCGTCTGTTTACTATTCACATGGTCAAACTTCACTCACTTTCTTTTCCTATTTTCGTAATATTTGCATTGAAAATAACTTGAGTCAATCATCGTAAACCAAAACAGGCGATTTAAATTGGGACAGAGGGAGTACAATACTGAAATATAGAGCTTACTTGTTCATGGCCTCGTATCTTGAAACGACCACGCAACCACTCTCTCACGATATGACAGTCCCCACTGAGACGGTTTGCTCTGATCTGTCATTTAAGATATTTAGCATGTTCGCGAAAATACGCAACATATATATTTTCTTTAAGTTGAATAATCTCACACATAACTGCATTCTATTTATTATCACAGACTCTGCAAATCTGCAATTAAGATTCATCAAGAACATAGGAAACATCATAAACTCTTGTAGAAGAGCACAAACCTCAGCACAAGCAGTATGTTCGTCGCTTTTCCAGTCCAAATTTTTGACACGGCACTGATCATATGCATGGATGAGCTCATGGATGAGTACTTGGGTTACCTCATCTTGAAATCTCAAATTGTTTGCACATACTTTTATCTGAAACCACATGCAAGAAGTCTTATTTAGTTAGATACAAACTTTTAAGCCAATGGCCTGCCAAACTATGAGAGTAAACTTCAAGTGTATGTTTGGATCACGGTAAATACAAATAAAAGGGGAATGGTGAAATTGCAAAGAAAATGAAGTATTGTGTCATCATCACCACCACCACCACCACCACCTTAACCCCAACTACTTGGGAATGGTGAAATTAAACTCACACTGTCAATTAACTAATCATATAAAATTGAGTAACGTTATAATTTATGCAAAAAAAACATAGGTTATTTCCATCATCATCGTCATCATAGTTTATTTGACTTATTTCCACATGCATGGAAAATCTCATGAGACAACGATGAGTTAATGGAATATGTTTTTTTAACTTAAATGTGAAGATGTTTAGGCCTTGTTTGGGAAATGGGTTTTTAATTAGCGTTAGCAATTTAAAATTATTTTCTAATGGTACATACTTGGTCCGTCCCTGAGTGTTTGTCCACTTTTGACTTTTGGAATCTAAGCACTTTGACTCATCAAATTCTTTCAATGTGTAAGCCTAAAAATAGTCATGTGTGATCTTCTTTGATTCGTCTTAACATATAGATTTTTAATATATATTTTTTATATTTTTTTAATATACAAATTACAAGATAAAATGGATTAAAGAAGTGCATTGGATGGTGTGCAAAAATGAAAGTGGACAAACACTCAGGGACGGAGGGAGTATTAACTTTGAAAATGCGAAAGTTAAACATTGTCATTAGATAGTTTGGTTCTATCTAACACTATGTTTGGTTCAAGGAATTTGAAAAGGAAAAGAAAAGAAACTGAAGTGGAAAATAATTTTTCTTATTTGGTTAGAGGGGAAAAGAAAGGAAAAGTGGAAGGAAAAAATAAGAAGGCAAAATATACCAAGTGGAGGGAAAATCAAAATTCTCCCATTTTAGTTAGGAAAATGAGAGAAAACCATTTTTTTTTCTTTTCCTTCCAAATTCCTTGAACAAAACATAGTGTGAAGCTAACCTTTGTCATTAGATAGCCTTTTCAAAAGGTTAAAGCTACGTTAAAGTTGTTGCCAAACGGGCACATAGTATCAATAAACTAGTTGGCTTTAGCCCCTTCCAGTTTTCTTCTGTTATGTTTCTGTAATGTTTTCCAGGAACCAAACAGAGCCTAGAGAAATGGCCAATTAAAGGGAGAGAAAACAGGTGTAAGGGACAGTGATTTTACCCCACCCCGGGGATCAAAAAAGCCTGATACCGGCTTATCGCATCGGATGGCTTGGAAGAAATTATCCGTAACTCTGCAACCCAATTTCTCCATTTGCTCCCTCATGTACTTAACCTTTGGATCTGAAGCACATTCAACACTACACATTGCACTAAAACCATGCTCAAATGCATTTAATTTATATTATGACCAAAGAAAGAACAACGGATATAGTAAGATCCCACGAAAAGTAAGGTCTGGGGAGGCGAAGTGATAATGAGATATAGTTTACCCTCCAATCCCTTTTGGATCATGACCATGCCTTCCGCCACTGTGTGCCCGCCTTTCACACCAGTCCAGGTGGCAGTGCCAGCTGGCGTCTTGCCTCCCATTGCTATTTCTCTCAAGAATCAGCACAACACTTGATCCACCTTATATTTAATAAAAAAAGATCATTGTCTACAAAATTTTAAAGAGTAACAACAACAACTGAAAAATGCACTGAATATTGCGCAATTTAATAGTCTCTTTTATACTTATTCACTTAATTATTACTCGGGGTAGCCCCTCAGTCCCAACTCCCAATACAAGCTTCTCATTTGACTTCTCTTGGTCAAATTTCGTAAATTTTGATCAGCGTGCAGAAAAAATACACAAGTCATTAGATTCGTTTACAAATGCAGTTTTAAAATATCATATTTCAATAATACTCCGTATTCATTTATGTATAAATATAGATATCAATGATCGTCAAAAGTCAAACAAAAAGTTTATTTTGGGATGGGGGGGCATAAATTCTCTTAAATTATAGTTCAAAATCAACTCATCCATGATCCATCTCTTCTCCTCCAAAGTCCAAACCTCTCCAACATCCAACTAATTTGGGGAAATTCATATTAGGTTGTCTGCTAAAATGGAAGTGAAAATAAATGACTGCAGAACAAAACAACTATTGAAAAATGTTTATAAAATACATAGGTACACATTGAAGCAAGCCAATCTTATGATTCATAAATCATAGATTCAAAATTTACAATACGGAGAATAATTATTTTTTGGAACCAAGTATTAAAGAACCAAACTTTGGGCTACTGGGTGTGAGATTTAAGAGAAATATATAAACAGTCATACTCAAGAACTGTATCAATGAAAATAAGGGGAAAAGCATACTGATTTTGTAGTTCTGGTCTACAAGAGATCGGAGAAAGTTGTTACAGATTGCAAGATGATGATGAATGAAGGCTTTCTGTGGCCTGAATACGGTGTCGCCGGGAACAACCCAAACTTCTTGTGGACTCTTTCCGTCTTCACCCGGTGGAAAGAGAACGGGAACTCAAAATGTCCCAAATTTACAGCGATTTTACAGTCCCACAAATAAAATGACGAAAAAATGTCTTTGGAGTCTATAAACTTCCTCTCTTAAATTTCCAATGGATTAGATCTCATAAATTTGGCAAAAATGGTAAAGCTATACCAAAAATTTACCTTATCTGTATCCCGACATGTTCTTCACCATACATTTTTTGATGGAAAGATGCTTACATTGTATCAAAATCCACATTTTAGATATAGATATTTTTACATTTTGAAATGATTTATTTCTTTTATGCTACAAATATACAAAAGTTCATGGACCCTAGGTTCACGAAAAAATTTATCTTTTTGACGTGAATATAAATAGAGTGAAGTGAATAAAAAATGTGTGGTTAGCAAATTGGTGAATGGTTATGTACAAATGGATATATACATAATTGGAATACCTCTAACATTACTCATTACTTTAAATATAATTACAATTAAATCTAAAAAATATAATAAAATCAAATTAAATTTATTTAGAGCAGATAGAGAGACCAAACTCTATGACTCTACTCCCCCAAAATTGAGCAATGCTAGGTTCACAAACAAAATGGTCACAAATTTCATAAACTTACTATTTATAGTTTAAATTTTTTTTTAAAAATTATTTTAGACTATTTAATTTCTTTATTAAAGTTCACAAATAGTAAGTTTGTGAAGTTTGTGAAAATTGTATTTGTGAACCAAGCATTTTCCCCCAAAGTTTTAGCACTCATTTATTTCTATTTAAGGAAATTTTTTTACCCAAAACTATATTCTACAAAATTTACTCACACACTCCTTGTGATAATTTTTCATACCAATTTGGATCATGCCCATCACGCCGCCCCATTCAGTATCACGTCAGTTTTTCTTATTTTCAACCGGCACATACCCATCATGCCTAATTTTTTTATTTTTAAAAAATATTTTTATATGAAAATAATTTAAAATAAAAACATTAAATAAATATTTTATTAAAATTAAAAATCACATTGGCATTATGCGAAAAAAGAAATAAAAGCGATAGATGACTCTTATTTAAAAGAATACTCCCTCCGTCCCAAAAAGAATGGGACGGTTTGACTTTTTGGGAAATTATATATATAATATTTAAATTAAAATAAGATATTTATTTCATTTAATTATTCAAAGAACTAAAATTAATTTTTTTTAAAAAGTAAAAAAAATTAAATTGAGAGGTAGAAACAACTAAAGAAAGAAAAAAGAAAGCAAACAACAATAAAATAAACAAGAAAAAAGAAATCATCTATCAATTTGGAAGATGAAGGAAGACATGAAAAAAGCAAGTTTGCACATGTGAAAAAAGAGAGTTAAAATTGATGAGAAATCGTTTTCCTACACACACTCCCTCCATAAAGGTTGAATATTTTTTAATAGAGAGTGACAGGAAAAAAAGGAAATACTCCGTACTTGGTAAATAGGTAATATTTCTGAGACCATTTCGTGATTTCCAATGCATAACACCGAACACAAACTTAAAATGCAGTACAGAGGCAAAATGCTGTAATTTATCTTTCATACAGAGTATATTATACGGAGTATCAAACTCAGAATATTTCTTTTTTCGTTACTGATGGGTGTATTCCCACCCAGAATAAATACCGGACCCACATTACAAATATTCACGGGGTGAATTAAGGAAATAAATCTAGATGATGGAATCAGTACTTGTAAACTTGACTGGGTGTGGATTATGAGGATTCACCCAGGTGGGTTTCAGACACTTCATTTATCAGACATAAGGCAAGTCCAGGCAAAGGGAGAATCCAGTGACCACCTGGGTGATCTATCGGATAAGATCACCCAAGTATCTTATCAAGAGTTATGCAGATCTTCAGCTCGGTGTATTTTGGAAGGTAGCGCTTAAAATAGATCAGATCCTTTGCACCGACTAGTGCGTCCAAACGCTACAAGACAAAACACATCAAGATTTCAATCTAAGAAGAGGACAAACACTACAAGACTAAAATGAGCCACCTTGTCACATGGCTGAACAGGGGCGAACGATGCCCTATTCCCCCCAACACTATAAATACACATGTAACCATCAGTAATAAGGATCTGAATTTTATATCTCTAGAGCATATTGTGTAATACCCTTTAGTACTCTTCTACATACTTAATAACAATTGGACTAATCTTGTTTCCAGTCATTGTTTTGTGCACCTTTTCATTCTCTAAGCTAATCAATCTATTCTAGACTCGGTCTAGTACAACTTGCCCAGATAATTAATTTACACATTATAGCCGTTGGAAGGGAGGGGGGCCCGTGACCATATTGTTTTCTTTGCCCGTTAGGGATTTGACAAGGAGCAAATGACATCTGAATAATGCGCTTGGAAGGCGATGTTTAATGCACCCATCACGCGGGCGTCATATGCATTTTTAGTGCTCTAGAAGCTCTCTACTCCATGTTAAGAAATTTTATAAAGAGGGAGGGGTCCGAATGAGTAGCTGAATTGCTCCAAGGAGAGGATGTCAAATTTGTTGATCTTAGGATCGAATCCTAATAATAGCAGTGTGAAAGTTCTATCATTTGTAATAGCTCTTTGTGCATACCGGAAACATGACAATTTCTCTAAAGACAAGATTGAGATTATAACATTATTTACTATCTTCATAATTCTGTCGGGTCAGGTGTCAGGATGTGCGGGCGGACGTTCAACTTCTTTTCTGTAAAGAGGGAGGGAGTATTTAATTTGATGGCTCGGACGGAATCACACGTGTCTCTAACTCTGGAAGTTGGAAACCGGACACCGTCTCTTCCTCGATCGCTGTCTATATATGACTATGTACTCGTATGAAGTTGATCCAATTCCTGCAAATTCCCTCAAAATTCACAGGGGAAAAAAGTTCATGCCAACAATCTATACGTAGTGTCCCGTGAGAAAGATCTCGATGTCGGGCCCTAAGCTCGTAAGAGTTCCGAGCATGATGGAGAGGGTCGAGGACACTCTATCTGCTCACCGAAATGAACTCGTTGCCCTTCTCTCCAGGCACGCGCGCATATGTTTAATTTGTTTATGAGCTGAGTTTACAGATGTTTTCGAGGATTGAAAAATCATTTGAATCTGCTAGAACATATATGCGAATTTGGTAGGTCTTGTGTGTTAATTTTTGTTTTTTGTTTTCCGCTTGATAGGTATGTGGCGCAGGGGAAGGGGATATTGCAACCGCACAACCTCATCGACGAGCTTAACAACGTCATCTGCGATGAAACTGCGTGCGTGAAGCTCAGTGATGGTCCATTCAGTGAAGTTCTGAAAACTGCTCAGGTTTAATTTTGTTGGTCTTGTGATCAGATCCTTCAATGGAGTCGGGGCTATAATGGTTTTTTGTTGTTGTTGCATATTGACTATTTTGAATTTCCGTGCTATTTAAGCTACACAATCTGATGTTACTGATTTGCTGGTTTGATGCCACTAGGAAGCCATAGTTCTCCCCCCTTTTGTTGCTTTAGCTATTCGTCCAAGGCCAGGTGTGTGGGAGTTTGTGCGCGTCAATGTGCATGAACTAAGCGTTGATCAGTTGACAGTTTCAGAGTATCTCAGTTTCAAGGAAGAGCTTGTTGATGGGCAGTAAGTGTTTTTGCTCTTTTGGAAGATAGTATCTGAGTTCTCGCACCCAATGAGTAACGTCTGAAATTCACTTCCTAGGTTGTTTTTGCCTGTTCCAGGAAAAATGATTCATTCATCCTTGAGCTCGATTTTCAGCCATTCAATGTATTGGTACCACGACCCACCAGATCATCATCAATTGGGAACGGGGTTATATTCCTCAATCGACATCTCTCTTCAATCATGTTTCGTAACAAAGACTCTTTGGAGCCTTTACTTGATTTCCTTAGAGTACACAGTCACAAAGGACATGTAAGTTGTGCATGATGAAATTCACCTATGTATTTACTTCCATTTTCGGTCTATGATATGCAGTTTCAGTTTTTCCTGATAACTCCTTCATGGAAGAACACCCCAGACCCTACTCTTGTGGGATTTAACTGGGTTGTTGTTGTTGTTTCCTTCATGGAAGAACAATTTTGACTTTTCCAAAATTTGGTTGGATTTGGAGTGTTCTAGTTCTGGATGAATTTAAGGTTAACATACTTGGTGTCAATATTCAATTATTTGTCCAAGGGGTTCCATAC